GAACAAACTACGTTTGGTAAACAGGGTGTTAAAAACCTGCGTGTTTTGTCAGAAATATGGAAACGTTTGCATGCACATGCACACACACTTTCATCCCCGTTGCATGTTAGTTGAAACATGAGGACGACCCATTATAAGTCACGCAAGTACAAATCTCTGTCGGCCAATTGCTGTTTAATTATTACCTCAGCTTGCAGACGGCTTACATACGAGTTGACACGGGGGATAGACGTAAAAAGTAAATAATGGGAAAAATAAAGGAGTAATTAATGTTGGGACAGATGTCTTGGTTGGAATCAGAAGTGAACACTGCTGCCATGATCGGCCATATGTTGAATATGAAAAATGAGCAAAAGATAGATTTTGATAACGTAACAGATTTGATAATGGTTATGTAATCGCGGACTCGAGCTCGTGTAAATAATATTGAATACGTGATCCACGAATGAGCAGATGCCGGCTGGAAAAACAAACATGCATTTTTCTTAATGTACGCTTAAATATGATACAGGAGATATTAAGGATGTGAATTTTTCATTTTTATGGCTAAAAAATACACAGTTTAGTGTTAATTGCATAAACATGCTTGTAAATGAATAATTCAGATCGGTAAAGCTGCAGTAAATGGCTGATGTCTTTAAACTTCCATTATGCATTTTGCGTTAAATCATACCGCTTCAAAGACTACAATGATCTTTGTTACTCGAAGAAAGCAGGGAACTATTAAAATAGGTCCTAATTGAACTAGAATGTTTAAAATTGTTGAAGATATTCATTAGGTGAATGTCTTGACTGAGTTTGATGATGAGCTTTTCGTTTTGTTATTCAGAGAAGGCACGGGACTGTTAATAAAAGGTTTGCCGGTCCGTCTGTATGTTGCACTTTTGGAAAGCATTGACTCTGCTTCTAATTCTAGAGGTAGATGTTCCTTATGGAATTGTCTTGACTGAGTGCGATTTTGAGCATTTTCTGCTTAGGCTAAGCACAGATAAGCAATTTGATTGGTTGAGATTTTAGAACACATTGACCCTGCTTCCAAATGGGGTAGAATGTCCAAACTTGGTGGAACTGTTCATTCCATTATGAGTATTTTCTGCTTTATTACAAGCTAAGCTGGTTTTATTATAGCCATACCCTGACAATGTTCGATAATAAGCATTGAAAATGGCTTTGTTGTTCTATCTCGGTATAGTTTATTAGGTATTTTACTAATTAGAAATTTCTCGGATTTAATTATATTTGTGTTTCCATAGAAAAGAATTTTGGTATAAAAATGTGTGGAATGCAGCATTTGGTTTAAATTTGTATTCTGAAACTTAGCATTTCTTTTCAAATTTGTATTCTGAAACTTGGCATTATTTCAAATTTTCCTTTACAAACAATTGAGAAATTGTGATTGACATCACCATTGACAACAGGTGCTGACATGTCGTCAGTATCGTAAAAACAGTTAATGACTATTTGACACAAGTAAACAATGGAAAACAAAATCAATTAAATATCAATATTGCCACCATACTTGTTAATAAGGGCTGATTATTCGAGGGTACTAACGGATATGTCTACTTCTTAAAAATCATTACAGGCTGTCAGATGATATTTACTGAATTAATAATCCTATACAGTATTTAAATAATCTCCCTGTGAATGGGATCACTAATCCGAATAATTTCTATTGAGCCCCGTAAACTCAGTAAATACAGAGAACAATGGAGAGTTAACATCCGCCATATGGCAAATTATCATTTTACAATAAAGATGTGGAGAGATTGAGCATAAGTGTATTGTTATATATGCCAATATCCCTACAAAATCATTACATTTTTTTTGTTGGTTTTTTGTTTTTAATTTTTTTTTATTGAAAATAAGTCTATTAACATCGTGAGTAGTTATAATTTGGAACCATTTAATGATAATAGAATTAATTAAGTTTCTAGTGTTGATAATGTACAAGTATACGGGTCTATTTAAGTGGAAACGAGTCTTAAGTCTTTTATTTTCCTTCAATATATAAATTAAGTCTGTTAAATCATGTGAGTGGTTATAATTTGGAATCATTTAATGATAATAGAATTAATTCTGTTTCTAATGTAGATAATGTACATGGATGTGGGTTTATTTAAGTGGAAATGAGTCTTAGTGTCAATATTAGTAGGAATAATTGCTGTCATTAATCAGCCTTTTATTGTCCGACTTGTTAATATAAATACTGTTAAGAATGTTAGAGTTTCAGGTTTAGTATTTGCATAAATCTCAAATAATATGTTGTCGATAATCAGACTTTTTATTGTACAAATTGTTAAATATGCATATTAATTTAGAACTTCAATAACAATCTGAACTTCATACTTAAAAACATTCTTGAATAATGTTCATTCTTTATCTCTCTTTAATGTCACATAACTGTAAACAAACGTTATTTTGGTAGCCAGCTAGCCAGGCCCTTGTGAAAAAATTGTCGACCATAGATATACATTGTCCGTCAATTTTACAGCACCCCTGAGAACACTTTCCACCCCCCTCGTTGCTCTGAGCTAGTTACAGCCCTGCAGCTAGCCAATTTAAAAATTTAGTGTTTGAGAAATATGGAGATTTGTAAAATTCAGTTAGCATGTATATGATCATAATGTAACTCCATGTAATGACTAGTTTAAGATTAATAGCAATATTGATACTGTAAGTGAGATATATGCAGGCCATCCAAAATAGGGCCCTGCAGTTTGGGGATTACAGATTTTAAAAGAAAATTCTTAAATTGATATCAAAATTGTGTGTGATTTTCAATTATAAACAAGTTTTTTTTTATGAAAAATGGAATAAATGTAACTGTTTAAAAGTCGATTTCTTTCTCCAATCTTGTAGATAATTTGGTTTTATTTTTCAATTGGACAAATAAACAGACTTCTACTCAATCTGATTAAAACACAGATCCTATTTCGTTTCGTTTTTTATAGTTCAAAATTTTGTTTTACTTGTCTTTACTACACTTGGATCTGGAAGAGTTGTTATTTAACTTGTGTTCTGCTTGTAGTGAAGGATCAGCCAATGAAACGGTATGTTAAGGCGAGCATTAGGCGTATGGTGCACGGAACTGTGGGTAATCCACTAGAAACATCAATGCTGATTGCTTAATCAACTGTCTGACGTCATAGGGTCAAAAGCCGCTCGTATGCTACAAGCGGTCAGATCTTCATGCATGTAGTGTATAGGCCATCGAAAGTATAAAAAAAAACGGAACGAAATATAGATCTGTATTTTAATCAGACTGACTTCTACTAGGAACAATATAACCCAATCAGAAAAAGGGTAGGGTGGTTCTTCTTTTTCTTTTTGGGCTTTGGGGGGTTGGATGGCTGAATGGTTAGCATGCGCGCGCTGTATCATAAAGTCTGTCATTGAGTCAACTGGCGTGGTTTCGAATCCCCGGTTGTACGTGGCAAGGAGTAGGGTCGCCTGTCCAACTTCGTGGGTTTTCTCCGGGTCCTATGGTTTCCTCCCACTGCTAAAGACCCCTACGCGCAAGCGAATTATTGAAATAAAATTAAACCATATGTTAGTCCCGAAATGACCTAGTTTGTGTCGAGTGGATGTTAAACCCCTTCTCTCTCTCTCTCTCTCTCTCTCTCTTTTTTGGGCTTTCCATTCACTTCCACCGAGGCCTGTGTTTATGAGCATACAAGTTGTCCTGGGGACCCCATTTTGGCTCAAGTATGCTGACAGCCTGCCCAATATGAATTTTCTTCCTGATGGGCCTGTAATATAGCAGAGAATGACAGGGTGGTCTGTGGACGGTATTTATTGTTACTGGAGATTTAATTAGTTCTTGAAATTAAGGAACATTCTTTCTCAGTTCATGTTTCCAGATATCTGTATAGCTGTTAAACAGATCTGTACCCTTGACCTTTTGAGAGCATCTTGACCACTGTAGGTCAAAAGTAAAAGGTTAAAAGTGAAAGGTCAAGAGATAAAGCACATGGGCATGAAAGCTCGACTTCTGAAGTGTTTTTGATACTGTATATCTACCCTTACACCTTTGACTTACCAACAAATGGTTTTCACTAACTGGTTAACATATGTTATATAGACTTGGCTTTATCGAGATTTATTTGACAAAGAATATTTTCCGTTATCAGGTTAAGGATAAGAAGGTGAACAATATGGTCTCCGTAGTGTGAAAATGTTATAGCAGCTTTAAACCAGTATTAGTATATAGTTGACCTATAAGTTTGCCATTTCATCATCAACAACAGTCTAGTTTTAAGGGCGGATCCAGGATTTTCAGAAATATTACAGAATATTTATCATTACATTTATCATTACATTTATCATTACATATTACATTTATGATAACATTTATGATAAAATCTAGTATTACATTTTTCATTACATATTACATTTTTCATTACATATTACATTTTTCATTACTTTTATCATTAAATATTAAATTAAATTGATCATTACATCTAGCTCTACATAACATTTAATATTACATTACATTTAGCATTACATTATATATAATATTATATTGCATTTACCTGTCTTCATTAGCCCAGCATATGAGCAGAACAGTAGGACGTTAAACTCCAATTCATTTCATTTCATTTCATTTATATTGCATTTAACATTACATTACAACATTAGCATTACATTTATCACTACAGTTTCTCTTGCTTGTTATATTACATTGCATTTAGCATTACATTACATATTACATTAAACATAACATTTAGTATTATATATTACATTACATTAATGTGTTCGTTCGCCTGTTCAACCTCGTGGGTTTTCTCCGGGTCCTCCGGTTTCCTCCCACTGCTAAAGACCCCTTCGCTCAAGCAAATTATTGAAATAAAATTAAACCATATGTTAGTCTCGAAATGAAATAGTTTGTGTCGAGTGGACGTTAAACCCCATTTCTCTCTCTCTCTCTGTACATTAATGTGTGATTGCCATACTAAGAAAACTCAGTTGTTGATGAATATTTTATTTATATCTTTCAGACTATTTAACACAGAGCGAGTCAAGATTCTAGACGAAGGAAGTCGTCTTAAAGTAGTCAATATATCAACCACAGATAATGGTGTATATTCCTGCCGAGCGGAAAATGTTGCCGGAGCAGTCGACAGCGATGATAATTTTTTACTCAATGTTGAAGGTGAGATTTATAAATATTAAATATTAATAAAAATGTCGATTAGTTTTTTTTTTTCTCTACCTGTGATTGTCAATATAAATACTGATTCACCAGCATGCATTGATTCGTTGGTTGATTCACCAATACATTCTTACTGAAGCGAAATAAATCAAAAACAGATATATTGATTTTTGTCGTTTTGGTCAAATCATTGCAGTACTTCTAGACCTGATATCAGAGGGGAATCAAGTGGTTTCAACTCTCTAGAAATCGAAATAAGAGTATTTTGTTGGACTGCTGTTGAAATTTCCTTCAAAGCACACTGTTTGTTTTATGCCCGTATTCATTATCCTGGTTGGTGCAGAAAAGTAGGATGTTAAACCCCATTTCATATCGTTTTAATTTTCTGGACCTCGCTATTCACCTCAAAGTAGCTTCTTTCTTTTGAGGAAATCAGATATTTCAGAAATGTTTTCACCTTAAAGTTCACAATAAATACTATTTGAAAACATATATGCAAAACAGATTCACTGACTAACAGCTATAGTCCTAGGCCACTGCTGACTGTAATAGTCCAGGGCTCCTGCTGACTGACAATGAGAGTCCTGAGCTCCTGCTGACTGACTGTAAGAGTCCTGAGCTCCTGTCGGCTGACAATAAGAATCCTGAGCTCCTGCTGGCTGACTGTAAGAGTCCTGGGCTCCTGCTGACTGACAGTGAGAGTCCTGAGTTCCTGCTGGCTGACAGTAAGAGTCCTGGGCTCCTGCTGACTGACAGTGAGAGTCCTGAGCTCCTGCTGGCTGACTGTAAGAGTCCTGAGCTCCTGCTGGCTGACTGTAAGAGTCGTGGGCTCCTGCTGACTGACAATGAGAGTCCTGAGCTCCTGCTGGCTGACAGTAAGAGTCCTGAAATCCTGCCGACTGACAGTAAGAGTCCTGGGCTCCCGCTGACAATAAGAGTCCTGGGCACCTGCTGGCTGACAGTAAGAGTCCTTAAATCCTGCTGATTGACAATGAGAGTCCTGAGCTCCTGCTGGCTGACAGTAAGAGTCCTGAAATCCTGCCGACTGACAGTAAGAGTCCTGGGCTCCCGCTGACAATAAGAGTCCTGGGCACCTGCTGGCTGACAGTAAGAGTCCTTAAATCCTGCTGACTGACAATGAGAGTCCTGAGCTCCTGCTGGCTGACAGTAAGAGTCCTGAAATCCTGCCGACTGACAGTAAGAGTCCTGGGCTCCCGCTGACAATAAGAGTCCTGGGCACCTGCTGGCTGACAGTAAGAGTCCTGAAATCCTGCTGACTGACAATGAGAGTCCGGAGCTCCTGCCGACTGACAGTAAGAGTCCTAGGCTCCCGCTGACAATGAGAGTCCTGGGCACCTGCTGACTGACATGAAGAGTTGCATATAACGTACACCCCTGCTAAAATTTATCAGTGCTATATGATGATTGATTGTAGTTGTTTAATGGAAAAAAGAAGAAACTGTTAAGACCTTAACACGTGCAGAATAATTGCATCATATTTTGATAATTTAAACACATGATTTATGAAAAGGTGATTTGCTCCAGACAGATCTGCCAAGGAAATCTAGATCTGAAGTTATCAAGTAATGTTAACAGATTATCATTAAAAATAAGAAATGGTTACATCATTATTTTTGTTAAAATTATAGCAATCTGATTAAAGTACAGATCTATATTTTGTTTCGTTTTTTTATACTTTCGATGGTCTTCACTACATGAAGATCTGACAAGTTACAGCGATAGGTCACGTCAGGGGTCAAAAGACTGACTTATGACCCTATGACGTCAGACATTTGATTAAACAATCAGCATTGATGTTACTAGTGGATTACCCACAGTTACGTGAAAAACATGCCTAAAGCTTGCCGTAACAGACCGTTTCATTGGCTTATCCCTGATACAATTCAGAACACGAGTTTAATAACAACTCTTCCAGATCCAAGTGTAGTAAAGACAAGTAAAACGAAATTTTGAACTATAAAAACGAAACGAAATAGGATCTGTGTTTTAACCACATTGAAATTATAGTATATGGTATTTGTTGTTATCGGTTGCCTCACAATACCTACCAACCTGGGTCTACAAAAACATAATCTAGCTCTGTATATGAAGGGGGGTTGGGTGGCTGAATGGTTAGCACGTGCGCGCTGTACCATAAAGTCTGTCATTGAGTAACTGGCGTGGTTTTGAATCCCCGGTTGTACGTGGCAAGGAGTAGGGTCGCCTGTCCAACCTCGTGGGTTTTCTCCGGGTCCTCCGGTTTCCTCCCACTGCTAGACCCCTACGCGCAAGCGAATTATTGAAATAAAATTAAACCATGTGTTAGTCCCAAAATGACCTAGTTTGTGTCGAGTTGAAGTTAAACCCCATTTCTCTCTCTCTCTCTGTATATGAAGAAATCGTCAAAAGGACTTATAACTGAGTCTTATTAAACATTTCTTTGTAAAAGCACCGTTTAGTTTCGGATGGAAAACCAGTGATTTCAGATGTCGTATCTTGGACATTGGTAGTATTAAGATTCTTAGTGATAAAATTTTAGCTAAAAATGTCAGGATCAACGAAACATTAAAATAAAAATCTGCGTTATTTAGAGATTTAGTATCCATTTACTATTTCAAAAAGCTTTTAACACTAGTCCACCAATAATTGACTTTTTAGATTTACGTTATTTTATAAAGATTAATTGAGACTAAATTTGTTCTCACGTAATATTTTACTGATGTGTCACAATCTATCGCGGATAAGTAAGTTACTAGTAATTCCTGATTTTTCAGTTTTTCAGATATTCAAGTTCGTGGAATAAATGACCTTCCGTATCTCGGAGGTTATAATTCTCCGATACTTTCTACATCGTTAAACATTAAATTGCGCTAAAATACGAGTTGAATCTTTCGGAGTGTGAAATGGTCATAGATGTGATATTTACGATTAAGTAATGCGGTCGTTAGAAGTAATGATAGGGAAAAGAATAATGTAGAATTCATTGCTTCTCGTACAGCTATAATGGACTTGGGTACTCACGCATTTAAAAGAGATCAAGATTGGGTTAGCGTTGCGTTAATTCATCAAAAAATGGCGTCATTTATTGTTAAATATCACAATATTTTCGATCAAGCCACGATTTTCACTGATGTATGTATTTACAAACGGTGGTTCAAACTTTATAAAATACATCAGAATTGATATATCTAATGTGTTTGTGGAATCTGATGGACGAGAAATTAAGATGGGAATTAAGGTGATAATTATATTTACATCTATAATGGTTTATACAAGGGAAACGTCTAGTTCTCAGAATGTATGCATTTTACAAACAGTGGTGTAAAATTTATAAAATAAATCAGAATCGACATTTCTAAGGTTTTTATGAAATCTGTTTGATGAGAAATCAAAGGTGGGCATTATGAACTGATAATAATTTTTATGTCTATTTAGTGTTTATACCTTGTATAGTCCTTCGGATGGGCTTAACATCTTGTCAACACCTATAGAGTTTATAAAATGAAAGTCTCAAATTTTCTTTTACGTGCATGCTGTGCACACAGGACCTGAGTTTTTCATCCCATCCGAATGACTAGACATTGTACAATGCCAGGTCTTCTATCCTGCACTACTGACAATTAAGACGAACAATAACAATAACAAATCCAGATAAATTGACTGTGTTAGTCTCAAATATACTGAAGTAGAATGTTAAAGGGTGTTGGAACCACAGTGGCTAAACGAATAAGATGCTGGCTCGCCAGCCTGGAGTTCGCTGCTTCACTCCCGATGTTGGCCGAGAAAGGACAGCTGTCTAGTCATTTAGATGGGACAAAAAACCGAGGTCCTGTGTGTACATACTGGCATGCACGTAAATGTTTCCTTAGCAGTTGGAATTTAATAAATGAGTAGGCCCAGGACATTAAAGACTGGTCTAATGTTTTTATAAAAATTTGGGTCTTTTTCTAATATCTTTAGAAAAAAATGATTTTGTCAGGCTGACCCGATCACCGATTATTAACGATGTGTTGAACACAGGATAAGGATTCCATGCACGTCAAATTATCGCAAATTGACGAGATCACCTCATCTGAATGTAATATTTTTGCGAATATCAGCACCAGTAATTTAGACATCCATTTTAAAAGTTTTGATTTTTTTCATTCACTGTGACTAAAATGGCAGCTGAATTGACGAAAACTTCATCTTACTTTTTGATAGAAATCATCCAGTCGTGTAAAAAAAGATTTAACGGTTAAATCCTAAAAAAATTTGAATTAATACTCAACGATTTTTTTGGAAATACAAACTAATAAAGCATGACGTGTCTGGTCGAAAAATCATTTCAGACTTGTCTCCTTAAACTACGCATGGTGTCATACCATGAAAAGCGCAAATGCTTAAAAATTGTTATGTCGAACTCAATTAAAGTGAATGCCGTTGATACAATTCTTATAACGTATTGATTTGAAATATATTCTCCTCACGATTTGTATAGAGTCATTGTCCGGGTGAATTAGCTAATTCGTAAGATACAAATTCAAATATGTAGCCGTGAAAAGGAAGAGTTTCATTGATTAATTTGTAATCTTTATAAAAACACGGTAGAACGTTCGTCTGTCAAGTTACTTAACAAACCTGGGTACACGTAATGCTTGAATTAATGCAAAGCTCATCAGGGCCCAACACGTTTAGATTTTATGACAGCTGATTGGCTAATGAGATTCATAATATGATTAATTGTTGTAATTAACTTCAAATTGCTATCCAATCAAATCATCTAGATATTTCCAAATAATTTTTTTTTTCTTTCCTACTTGATATTAAGTAATTTTGACTCTTTACGAAAATATTTTATCCAATCCAATCATCTCAATATTTTTATTTTTGGTATTAAGTAATCAGGGCATTTTACGCAAAACTGATTATTTATTGTCTAATTTGAAGAAATACTATTTTATTTTCTTATTATTCAAAAGAAATATTAAATTGTCATTTTCTTCCATGACAAATTTGGTAATGACCACTGATGGTTATTTTGACAATATATCAAAATAATCCAATAGAAATATTCCAATTTACTTTGTTTATTTCAACGCCATAGAAGCCGAGGAGTTTTTACTATGTGGTGAAATTTTATCAGACCTTCTAATCAACTGATATATAAAAAATTTGCAGGTAATGAAATATAAATATAGAGTTGAAATGCCTACGATTTCAAGATATATGAAAATCGGCAAACCAATCGTGTAAGATTAAATCTAATAAATAGTAAAATTAATATTTGATAAAATGAAACTTGTATAACATAATTGGTAGTGCTTCAATGATCCCGTCAACTGAAAATTGAAATAAGAGTAGACTACGAAGCCGGACTCATTGTCCATGGTTCTTTCAGAAAAATAGCACATTGATTAAACCTAATTTCATTTCATGATATTTTTGAGATTACAGCTTACCATCAAATAACTCAGAGCTAGCCATACTATATGTTAGTCTCAAATTAACCAATGCATCATGGGCAGATAATAAACACCATGCGTTAATTAAACAGAGAGAGAAAGAGAGAAATGGGATTTAACGTCCACACGACACATACTAGGTCATTTCGGGACTAACACATGGTTCAGTTTTTATTTCAATAATTTGCTTGCACATAGGGGTCTTTAGCAGTGGGAGGAAACCAGAGGACCTGGTGAAAACCCACGAGGTTGGACATGCGACTCTACTCCTTGTCACGGACAACCCGGTACTCGAAACCACGCCAATTGACTCAATGACAGACCTTGTGATACAGCTTGCACACACTAACCATTCGGTCATCCAACCCCCCCTTTAATTGAACATGTTTCTGAAGATATAGAAGGTATCAGTGTTTAGAAATACAGAACTCAGAACTATTTGGTGAACTTTTGTACCCATGTTTGAAAGATTGACAGAATAAGTTACACTAATTCTAATCTCGATTTACAAATCTCACCGCAATATCGAACTATCCATAACATACATGAAGAATGATTGGTCAATATTTGATATTTGTAGAGTTTTGGTTGGTTGATTTATTAGTAAATGCTTGAAAGATTGACAAGTAATCGCGACTCCCAGAGTTCATCAGTAACGAGCGAGAAGGCAAAACATGTAATTATATTGACATTGTACCCGTATCACCCTCCCTTGAGTTAAACATACCGTTATTAGGAATGGTGTATTGATCCACCATGTTTATGGTTGTCGTGGGAGATGAGGGGTAGTCGTGGCGACGTTAAAGTATGAGTGGAAGGAGTAAAGTTGAACTATTTATGAGGATGGAGTTATGTCATCTAATGCATATTAGAACAGATGATCGTAAACTGAGATTATTGCGGAGATATTTTTTTTTGTGTTTTATATTATAAGGATTGGAATGTAATGGTATGATTGGTGGTATTAGAGAGAGAGAAGGCGAGAGAGAGAGAGATTTAATGTCCTCTCGACACATTTCGGGACTAACATATGGTTCAATTTTATTTCAACAATTTGCTTGTGCATAAGGATCTTTAGCTATGGGAGGGAGGAACCCGTAGGACCCAGAAAAAACGCACGCAATTGAACTGGCTACTCCACTCCTTGTCATGTATTATGAGCATGACCCTAGCTCACTTACCAGGAGGTCCCGGGTTCGATCCTGGTGTTGGTCAAGAAAATTCCTCAGGAATTTCCAGGCTGATTCCCCCTTGTGATTGTAACATGGGTATCAGATGACTGAGGTTCAGGGTTTGATTCCAATGTTATTGATTTCCTGCTATGATTCTAACATGGGTGTCAGATGACTGAGGTTCAGGGTTCGATCCCAATTTTCCAGTCTGATTTTCCCATAGGATGCTAGTAGCACCGGGATCAGATAACTGAGGGATCTACAGCATTGCATTGTCCGATGATAATGTTCCCACCAAAATCAGATAGTCCTGTAGGCCTTTGAATACATAAACTGGTATATACAACACTTTCCTTGTCTGCCCTCAGACGGCACTCCTTACAAATAACAACTGGGCTTGAAAAATCATGTGTTGAATCAAACTGGTCAAGAGGCCAGTGCCCTACCGCTTGACATTATTCCACCACCCCCTCCTCCTCAAATCACCTCTGCTCCCTGGTTCCAGCAAGTAATGTTGAACAAAATCAGTTTTAATTAATTTGAATTAAGCATAATGTAATTAAAATAAATTAAAATGCTTTAGTTTCAAAATGATCCAAATATTCCATGGACCTCTCCATCCAGGATACCTTTCTTCATTAGCCCAGTCGGTGCAGAACATTTCATTTCATTTCATTTTATTCCTCACATCGAATCATTCATATAGAGATCAATGAATTAAAGCTACATTATGTAAGATTTTGATAAAAAGCACACTGTATGATGCATTGCCCATCTACAGTAGCCCAGTCGGTGCAGAAAAGTAGGACGTTAATTAAACACCATTTCATTCCATCCAGGATATTCTCTCAGTCGAGGTGAGGATATCAGAAGGCTAATATTTCTCTGTATTATTCCATTAAAACTTCTGTTAAAGTCATTCTTTTAAACAAATATGGCACCACTTACAGATATTCTTTTAAAAATCATAGTTCCTCTTTGTTCTGCATTTGACACAGAATTTGAGATATTATGAGGTTCTTTTGACCAATATTCTAAGAAAATGTTGTTCCATTATCAGATATTGTGTTGTAATAATTTACTTTAATTTTGTCGAGCAATATGGCACCGTTTTAAAGTACTTCCATATTTAGATTTAACAGGATTATGTGTCAGAAATCTTGTAGAATTTGACAAAAATTCCTAGAAAATTTCCTTCCATTAGAATTGTTTGTTGAAGTAATTTCATAAACTAGAGATATAAAAAAGGGGTGTGTTTTGAATTATAATGTAAAACAGAAAACAGCAAGTAGAACAGTTATTGTCTCTTAGAAAATATTAAACCCCTTCATCTGTGTATATACAAAACATAGAACATCTGGTTATCATTAGAGAGAGGGAGGTAGGGTCAGAGAGAGAGATAGAAACAGAGAGAGGGGGTAGGGTCACAGAGAGAGAGATAGAAACAGAGAGAGGGGGTAGGGTCACAGAGAGAGATAGAAACAGAGAGAGGGGGTAGGGTCACAGAGAGAGATAGAAACAGAGAGAGCGGTTAGGGTCACAGAGAGAGAGATAGAAACAGAGAGAGGGGGTAGGGTCACAGAGAGAGAGATAGAAACAGAGAGGGGGTAGGGTCACAGAGAGAGAGATAGAAGTGGAGATAGGGAGAGTAGAAGAGGGGAAAAAGAGGGACAAATGGGGTTTAATGTCCACTCAATATAGGTAATATGGTGACATATAGTACAATAATATTTCAATAATTTTCCTGAACATAGGGGTCTTTAGCAGTGGTGGGAGGAACTGGAGAAAATACACAAAATTAGGCAGGTGACTCCAAGGTCTATGATTGATAATTTGTTATTCAAGACTTTTGCCATCCGATGACCTAGCGAGTTTATTATTCGCTTGTCATGTTAATAAATAATAATTTACATAACATTTGAAGACAAAATAAAGACCTGCAATAGGCAGATTTAGCTCTTATACATAATGCCTGTTTAATAAAGTAATTTCCTGTTGAATTACTGTTTTACTTAGCAATAAACAGTAATTATATTTCCATAATATTGTCAGGTATTTCTGTTAGGGATTGGGATGGCCGAGTGTCGCACTTCAGACGCTATAGTCATGGTTTCGAATTCAATTCCTGATGTGAGCATATATATGTAGCTTGAAGATAGGGGGACCTTCTCAACCTTGTGGGTTTACTCCAGGTATATAATTATATATTATTCTATTCAATAAACTTCTTGTCTCTAATATTTCAGCTGCAAATACTCCCCACTTAGTAGAAGACAAGTTTACACCAAATCAACTGGTATTAAAGAATAATCCAGCTAGATTAGATTGTGCCTTTAAAGATGCTGCTCGTATTGATTGGTTCTCTAATTATGAGAAGATCACCAACACCACCAGGTATATAAAACATGTTTTATTTTTTAAAAAAACATATAACTCAAAACTATCCAAAGCCACCCGAAACTACTCGAGGCAGGTGCATATCCACAATACAGTCCTACAATATGGAGAGCTATTCGCATGACATGTTTTTTTTTGGGGGGGGGGGGTTTACATGCCATATAACTCGAACCTATGCAAAACAACCTGAAACTAGTTCTCATTACCATAAAGTGCACAAAGCTGCTCGAGACATTATGTAGTGCCTCCAAAATGCAATCTTACAATATGGCGAGCTATTCTCATGATTGGGGTAATTTAAGGTAGTTAAATTCATCCTTTGGATTTTGTTACTGGTAAGGGTGCCAATCAGTCAATATTTTTATTTACTTTAGATAAGCAATATGTTTATTCCAAAGAATATGACAATTTGTAGCATTATCCATTTCTTTGTATATATATTATCAACTTTGGACATAAAAACTATAAATTTAACTGTTGTCTTTGAAATAACAGGGCTCTTGTTTCAGTCATATTCACCAGTTCCGACTGATTAGCAGTAAAATTGACTGACAGGTAAATCCTAGAGGCAGTCAATTTTACTGCCAGTCAGTTAGAATTGGTGAAATATGACTGAAGCAAGAGCCCTGATGCTAACTAGCTAATTGTATATTGTTGTTTTTCAGACATATAGTATACAGTAATGGTTCATTATATTTCCCTAAAGTTCGAGCGAGTGACGAGGGAAGTTATCGATGTGAGGGTTTAAGTGGAAATAGTAACCCAGCTCAGACGTTTACAGCTCAACTCACATTATCTAGTAAGTAAAGATTTAAATCTTGTCCTATCTCTAATTCTTTTACTAATAGATTTCACAAAAATTCATACTCCCTGAAATTCAAATTTTCTCATAGAGAAATATGTGTGAATTAAACTTGGAGGAGGTTCATTTATTCACAGTAGGCTGAAATAAGAAGAAATAAATGATGAACAACTGCTCAACATAAAATAGAACAAATAGATAACATGGTGGTGAGTCGGGAGATGGTATTGAATTGAAGCTAGATGGACAAATACAAGGACACCTACAACACATAAAACAAATCCACAGACACCAGATAACACTAACCCAGAGAGAGAGAGTCATTTCAGGACTAAAATATTGTGAAATTTTATTTCAATAATTCTTTTATGTGTAGGGGTCTTTAGCAGCAGCAGGAAACCGGAGAACCTGGAGAAAACCCACGAGGTTGGGTAGATGACCTTATTCCTTGTCACGAACAAGCTTGGGATCGAAACCACACCACTTGATTCAATGACAGACCTTATGATTTAAATCAGATGCATTAGACCACCCGACCATCCAACCCCTACAGTGATAAAAGAGAGAGAGATAGAGAGAGAGAAATGGGGTTTAACGTCCACTCTGCACAAACTAGGTCATTTCGGGATTAACACATGGTTCAATTGTATTTCAATAATTCGTTTGTGCGTAGGGCTCTTTAGCAGTGGGAGGAAACCGGAGGACCCAGAGAAAACCCATGAGGTTGGACAGGCGACCCTACTACTTGTCACGTACAACCGGGGAATCGAAACCCAGCCAGTTAACTCTATGACAGACCGTATGATACAACGCGCACGTGCTAACTATTCGGCCATTCACCCCTTGTAGTGATTAGAGACCTTTAATAGCAACCTAAATCACCTGCTTTAGTTCTACGTAGATTCTGATAGATTCTGACTTTTGGCTATCTGACAAGTCATTTACAAATCATTTCCTGTTATAGGAAGTCTAACAGACGGAAGGTGATTGGAAGAAATGCTATATATGGTCAATGGTCAGTTGATCACCAACATAAAGCTCGGGGATCTGACGTTATTAGTCAATGACAGATGTTCGTCAATTATAGCCCTGGCAATCTATTTGATGTCTCGTCAACTTAGTGTAAATTATCTAAAGACAGAAACAGCTAGTTATACCAAATTAGTCTAATAGGAAATTAAATGGGATGAGCTTTAATGTCCTACCTTTTTGTACCATCCACGCTAATAAAATGAAATGAAATGGGGTTTAACGTCCCACTGTTCTACTTAGACTGGGCTAATAAAGGTGGGCATACACCATACAGTGTGCTATGAGGGAAATTTTTTGCTGGGGCAGTGGCACTATGGACTACTCTTATATCGAATTCTAACTGCCAAGTGATCTTTTACTTGCATGCCAATGTATGCACGGGACCTCGATTTTTCGTTCCATCCAAATGACTAGACAGATGTCCTTGTCAGGCCCTCCGTCCTGCATCACTGACACGGGGAAACCTTGTAGGAAAATCCTGATGGACTTTCTTGGCCAATGCAGGGATCAAACACGCGACCTCCAGACTAGCGAGCCAGCGTCTTACCCATTTAGCTACTGTGGCTCCTTCAGGCTAATAAAGACTGGCATATTCTATAGTGTGTCTTATTAGGAAAATTACATAATCCTAATTTCATTTTCAGAAGTACTGGTCAAAAATGTAGAGCAGACATTCAACTCGTTTCTCTTATTGTTAAGAACAATTTACATTCAGTATGGACGACGACGCCTTTATTAACGGTCAAATATTGGAATCTAAGTCATGTCTGCATCCTTTAGAGGTTATGTAAACAATCTTTGGATTCAATTTTCTTTCACAAACAAGTTAAACAAAACTTTTCTGATAATTACAAAATCTTTAGCATTCGGTTTGTGTTGATTTGTTAGGCCTAAGATGCAGACTTCATAGTAATGTCCTAAGCCATATAAAGCTTTGAGATCCCTTGTTATGGGGCCAATAAAGTGCATAGCAAATATAAAGAAAAAATCTGCAATTTTGTGAGGACACTGTGTCTGGTTCAGGAAGTTGGCAGAGAAACTTTCTCATGATTTTCCAGCATCGTTTCATTTTATCATTTGTGGATGATGGAGGACCTGTAAGTAACAGTGTCAAGTTCTTTGGATGGGATAAAAAAAAAAACTCCTGTTTATAAAATTTGCAATATGTAATAGATCTCCTGGACAGTTGTCAATCAAAATAAGAGTAGGATGCAGCACCACTGCTAGGGCAAAATGTCCCTCCTACAACTCTGCATCACATATGTCAGTATTCACTACCCAGGTTGATGCGGACAAGTAAGACATTAAAAAAACATTTTATTTTAGTTTCTTATAGAGATACAATAAAATATAACCACACCCCCATTAATTCCATTCAGATTTTAAATTATCAAAACATGATGTAAAAAATTAAAATACTGTGAATAGGATGTAACACGGAAATTCTTGACACCAAATAAAATCACCACACAGCTGTGAATTATCAAGCCATTCCTTCCGATGTTTTTACAAGAATCAAAAAAATCGTAGCTAATTAAAGAATTCCAACGCCTGTACAAGACAAATCTATCAAATCATTTGTTATTCAGAATTTTTTTTTTTTTTCATTTGCAATGTTAAAATATTGATAGTTTTGATAGTTTTTCGGATTTTGATAAGATTCTGACTAATAGCAAACACAAACATCAACTTAAAGACAAGCAAAATGGGAAAGAAATCCAAATTAACGCCCGATAAAAAAAATTCAAGCAATTATCTATTTGAAGTTAGATCAAGATGGTAGCTTTTAGAAATGGTTAATTGGGTGTTTGTGCAAGAAATTGGGGATATTTAGTCTTAAAAACGTTGTGGACATAAGCTTCTTCCGTCTTTGAGAACTTATTTACAAAAGAGACTGATCCACTTGTAAGGTTGGTGTTTAAGAAATCGTGGTTAGTTGTAGCTTTTGATGAATTAAACGGGCTCGTATAAATAGGTTTACAAGAAACGATTTGATCGCAGTGGATTTTCAAACTAACACAAGCAAGATGTATTCCCCTATTCCTTAAAATTCTTGCATTTCATCCCATTTTTTCTCAACAAAATTTCTGGATTTCAATGCTTTTGAAGTGGATTGCAGTGGATTTTCCAATGAACAGAAGCAAAGCTATGTTTCCCTTGTACTCGTATCTTCTTTGTAATCATGCATAATTAACCAAACTTTCAGATTCAAGTGTATGGAAACCTTTCTTATTTTTAAGCTGCTACTCGGAAATTTGACAGTATTAAGAAGTTTCAATTTAAAGCTGCTGAGCATCATTTGCATTTTTTGGACAATTTCTAATTTTTCACTGCTTAATCCACTCTACAATTGTGCTGAAATTGATTAATTAACATTTAATTAAAGGGGCATTATGTAAGATTTAGACAAAGAGCTGGACGTTCTGGCTAAAATATTTCAGAAAAAGATAATGCAAAATGAATATATTGAGAATTTCATCCAAATTACTTTATTTTGGGCAAAGTTATGAATGGTTGTAGTTTTGACAAGATATGTGCATTGATTGTAACCACCGTACTGTTCATTTGAATCTTAGCCTCGGTTCTCCATTTTTAAATTAAATCATTGAATGGCCAAACCGTTTTAATCTACTTAAAATCGGAGCCATCCGATGGCATCAAGAGTTGATTATGGTCTTATGTTAATAAATGTCTAATTAATAATTTATATAACATTTAAGGCCCAAAGAAAGACCTGCTATAGGCAGACTTAGCTCTTACATAATGCCTGCTTAATAAAACGAAACCAGAATTTTAAAGGTAGATGATATCCCGACTTCGATTCAATTGTATTAAAAAGAGGCGCATCCAAAAATTTAATTACAACTTGTACTGACTTATGAGAGAGGGTTTAACCTCCAATCAACAAAAACTAGGTCATTTCGGGAAAAGCATATGGTTCAATTTTATTTTAATAATTCACTGTCGCATAGGGGTCTTTAGCAGTGGGAGGAAACCAGAGAACCCGAAGAAAACCCATGAGGTTGAACCCTACTCCTTGTCAGGCACAAGCGGGGAATCAAAACCACGCCATTTGACTCAATGACAGACCTTATGATGCAACACACACACTTTAACCATTCGGCCACCAATCCCCCTGCAATTGAAAGATTATGCAAGATTTGAACTTTGATTTAGCAAATCTTCCAGCATGTTTCCTGATGCTTTCAAAATTATTTTATGTCGTCTTTTTACTGTTGATGTCGTCTTTTTACTGTTGATGATTATAAAACGTGTGAGAAATATGATTTGTGAAATTATCCCAACAATGCTACTAAAAATTCTTCTGCTTAAACACAACGGAAGGATATTTTTATTGTGGTCGTAAAAATTATGAGTCGGTGTCCCTCACATCATCAAGGTTTTTTGTGTTTGGAGGTAGTATTGATTGGGCTGGGAGAGACAATAGTAGTTGAGAGGAGTCTTCATCTTCTTTATCGTCACTAATATCATTTCAAATCTTCGTATGACCATGAATTGGATAATATCATGGATGAACTTGGGTCAACATGAAAGACTCGACGTAATAATAAAATCAAATAGTATGACATCAATATTAGGGAGTGAAAAATACCGGCCAATCAAATTAATCATTGAATAATTAAGTGGGACTTGTCAGACCCCATCTTTGATCAGGGATCACGGAGATACTCTAAATTGTCTTTGATTTCGGCACTTGAGGACTTTTCTATGTCAAAAGTCGAAGCACCCGAGTTGTTTTGATCTATTCATGTGATAATCACACAAACAGTAATATCGTTAATTTGATAATTTATATCTCATGGTCGTCGAATCTTACACAGTGTCTGCATAGCACCTTATTGACTTCTGCTTCAATCAGACTCAATCGTAAAATATGAGTGAAAAGTAAGTGACTCTGTCAGATTAAAAGAAGTCAAGCCAGGATCTAGAAATGAGGTGGTGGG